TCCGGGCGCGGAGCCGAGCGCCGCCAGCCCGGCGCGCCCCGCACACGCTCCGCTCCGCTCCGCACAGCCCGCCCGGCTCCCGGGGCGCCCGCCCATGGCTGACAGGAGCCTGATCGAGGGCGCCGAGCCCCTGCCGCACCGGGAAGAGGCTCCGGAGTGGGGCTACGAGGAAGGTGAGGAGCGGGCGGCTCCGCCGGGGAGAAACTTTGTCCGCTGCCGCGGGAGGAGGAGGCGGTGTGGGAATTTCAGTGGCGGAGCGCGGCGGGGTTCGCTCCCCGGCCGTCCCGAGCTGCCGGGAGCGGGGAAGGGACGTCCCGCAGCAGCTCCATCCCCGCCGGCGGGAGGGCAGCGCGGGGCGGCGGCCGCGGAGCCGCGGGGTCCGGCCGAGCAGCCCCTTCCCCGGCCCGGGCAGGGTCTGTCTGACCCGCAGCGCGGGGTGCCGGGTCCCCCCTCACCGCTTTTCCCTTGTGCCTCAGGAGTGGAGTGGGGGCTGATTTTCCCCGATGCTAACGGGGAGTACCAGTCGCCCATTAACTTGAACTCGAGAGAAGCTAAATATGACCCCTCGCTCCTGGAAGTGCGTTTGTCACCGAACTACGTGGTGTGTCGTGACTGCGAAGTGATCAACGATGGGCATTCGATTCAGATTGCCCTGAAGTCAAAATCAGGTATGCTGAAACATGGCCTTGATTTTCCCGGCTAAAGCTTGTGTTGTCTGAAGACTCACTGTACTCATGTCCCGGAGTGTAGCAAAAGCAGCCTTTCCCAGCTGAGAGCAGTTGTGACCATTCCACATGGACTATGCCCGGTGAGAGTGTTGCTGTTGACTTTGGTAGGAAGAGGAGCAAGTGTTGCAATGGGAGTTGCAGATTTCGATGCCAGACTGGATGGTCAGTGAGATTGCTTCAAAACATATCCAGAATTTCTTCTTGTGGTGGTGGTGGTATCCAATTCACTGGCATTAACAGCTGTCTGCACTCAGAAGCAGTACAGACTATTGCCAAGTGTAGAGCCAAACTGTTCTGTACAGCTGGCAAGATTTGTTCGTGGTTCAAAGACCATGTGAGTTAAAAGTACTTTTTCCCATTAACTTGAGTGGGTTCTGAATACTACCTTCAGAATTGGACAGCTTAAGATAGATACACCAGTTATATACATGCTCACAATATTGATGAGGACCAAGTTGAAGGCAGTCCTTTCTTAAAGGATGACATTTTTGGTGTCACTCATCAAATTTGATTTAGAAGAAAGCAATAAAGGAAACAATTCCAACATAAGTGAAGTTGCAATATCTAATCCAGACCCTTCATCTGGGTAAACTGTTCTGTATGAGGAAAGCAAGAAAGTAGGAAGGAAAAACCTCTGTTTTGCTTTCCAGCACTTAGTTCTTACCGTGTGTTTGGAAGAGTCTCCATGTTATTCCAACCAGTCTTAGCTAGTAACAGCCCTTTGGGGGCATTTAAACAGCTGGACGTTGTCAAACCATGAGGCATTCCAACTTCTGTTTCCTTCTGAGAACTCAGTAGTACTGGGAACTACAGCTGTGCTAAGTGAGGGAGTCAGTTCAGTTTTACACAGTTTTTTTAAAAAGGAAGGGTTTTTTATCTTAATAATGATGCTTTCCTTTATAATTTCCTTTCTATGATAATTTCCATGTATTTTTGCAACACAGAACGTTTCTTTCCATGGAATTTTGCAGATTTGCATTAAAAATGTTGTATTTCCAGTCAGTTTTACTGCCTTCATCAGAAGCAGAGCTCTTTTCCCAAGGGATAGGGTTCTCCCTGCAGGATCAGGAATACTTGAATTCTCCTGTGGAGGAAATGAGAGTGACCACATCGTTCATATAACAAAATGGAACTCCTTCCATGCTACCTTTCCCAAGGGCAGTTTCTAACTTAGTAGTGATTAATAAGATGGGACCAACACACCTAAATGCCTTTGCAAAACCATTAAGAGAATTAGAAAAAAGGAAAGACTTCTTTTATACTTGAATGTAATGTGATGCCGGACAGATGAGTCTTGAATTATAAGAAAATGTAAAATAGAAAAAAAGTTTATGACTGGAGTATGGAATTATGATTTAGGAACTCTTGGTTTAGTTTCAGCTTTTTCTTAAATTTATTGTTACGTAATTTGCCATTTTCCCTTTGTAAACTGGGAATAATTTGGGAGGGAGAGGACAACATTTATTAAACCTAATAAGAGGAGAAAAGAGTTAATAAGTTGTGATTGAACCTGGCCTAGTATTCTGGCCATTTTTCAGGGATTGCAGAAACTCCTGCAGTTTCTTTTCCTCACAGGAGATCTCTGATGACAAATCCATTTAGCTGGATTATTTTGTTGGGAACTGTTGAGCACTGGGTGCTTTTGAAACTATGTCCAATTAATGTGCAAGAGATCCTCATCTACTGTAATGTTAGCAGTCAAAGAAAAAGTTCTTTATGGAAAAAAGTAAGATACATATTAAAAATAAATTTGTCATTACTGGTGAATGTGCTTATCCTTTAATTCAAGACACGCAGTCCATATGAAATTCCCAAATCCTTCTCATTATTTAATTGCAAACATTTTCACAACTGCTTTCATTTTGATAGTGGAATACATGTGGTGCATTAGGTGGAAGAACCATGACCAACTATGAAATAGTTTTATCATGGGATCAATCTACTGATTGAAGCCCTGGAAATAAACTCTTTGAACCTCCTGGAGATCCAGGACTACATCATATAAGAACATTTGGTGTAGTTACAGTTTTTCTCAGAACAATGTTTCAAAACAGAGAAAATGCTCAATTTTACTAATTGAGATTATTATTATTGTTGTTGTTGTTGTCCTAACTGAGCACTACTTGAGTATCATTATTCTTTTTTTTGTCCAAATTTCATAAATATTTCAATTGGTTGTTTCCTCCAGTGTTCACTGGATTTGTACATTTTCCCTCTAGGGGATATAGGTATAGACAGAATATAGATAAAGTTAAGGAGCAAATCTGAATCTATAACTATATTTAGGACATTTCATTTTAGAAACTCTAATGGCTGCTAGATAAGTTGTGAAGAATTATTAAAGGAGGATTAATTGGAATATTTGACTTTTTTTCCTCCAGTGTAATTACTTATGAAAACCATAATTGATCTGTTTTCTTTCATTTTTTTTACAGTTTCATACCTTTGCTTTTGTGTTTGTGCAATTGTAATATGATTAAATTGCTAACTTATGTTTTAGTATTACACAACCTCTTGTGCTCCAAGTTCAGGTGGTATAGTTTGTGTGTCAAAATAGCTATATATTATGGAACTAATTCCCTAAGGCTATATGTCATGCAGTTAAATAATCCTTATCAATTATCAGAGATTGTAAAAGATTAATTCCAACTCTGTGAAATGTAAGCTAGAATTTAATGGGTTCTGGGTAGACTGTGAATGCCCTTAAATAAAACTTGGCCCTGCCTAGAAGCCAATATTCAATGATTTTAGTGGGAAGTTACCTTCAGCTTGTGGTGTAATATTTGATCTAAAGCAGATTCAGAAATCCCTGGGTGAAATGTTTCCATTGATTAATTCCATAGCAGATTTGGCCTCACAATTGCTTGCTTTTACTGCTTCTGGTGGAAGTCTCTATTAATGCAAAAGTACTGAGCAGCTATATACATTTTTTTGTGCACGTGTTGGATTGTGGACAGATGCTTTTAAGAAATTCCAGATGTTTAAAAAACTGAAGTAAGGGAAACCCATGGCTGCCTAGAAGCTGTTTTTAAGTAAATGAGGTGTGCTGGTTTTGCTCCAGTGTGTAGGTTTGATTATATTTCGGTGTGGAGGCGTTCAGTATCTCAGAAGCCTGACAGGTGGTATATGACTGAACACCTTTACCCAGCAAAATATTTGCTATCAAAAGTTTTCTATCCATTTCTGTGACCCACAGTAAACATAGGTGATGGAAATCAAACTTTTGGACAACTTGGAGGTTACTTCCCAGTTCAGTTCAGAACCCCTGCCATCTGTTTAGAGCAAACAGATAATGTCTTGTTAAGACAGATAAACATTCCCTCTTCTGGCTGGTAAAGGTACAATGCTTTTATTTGGTGTTCTGCATCATAAAACAAAGGGTTCAATATGACAACAGTTATACTGTTTTTCATAACTGCCTCAATTCATGTTCTGTACCTGCAAGGTTCTTCAGAAGTAAAGGTGACACGTCTGTCAACTTAACTCTTCTCCTCTCTGGTACCACTAAGAATATAGAAGATTGCCACAGACTCCTTGTTGTATTTGGAGCATGTATTCAGTGGCTTGTCTGCTTTGAAAGGCAAGTTCTTTACCACTTATCTTCTTCCCCAGTGTTAACAGGGGGGCCATTACCTCGGGGACACGAGTTTGAGCTACATGATGTTCGATTTCACTGGGGGAGAGAAAACCAGCGTGGTTCTGAACACACAGTTAATTTTAAGGCCTTTCCCATGGAGGTAAGTGTTCTGCATTGTATAACACCCGTGAAATGGAAAAGATTTTATTTCATAGCCTGAATTCTTGGTAGTTCAAAAGCAACTTCCTTTTAGCTCTGCATGCTTTATATTTCAACCACAAAGCTATCTTCCTGGGGTGTGCTTTACTGCAGGTAAATTAGGATATGCCTCTGGAATAGAATGCCTCCAGCACTCATCACACTGTATGATTAATTGGTCGTAAAGTTAACTTGCAGAATTATTAACTTCTTTCTTATTAGTGTTCTAACAAGATCTGCCATTTCAACACTTCCTATGTCACCTTGACTAATAGCTATATATGGGGAGAACTAGCCACTGGAAATATTTCCATGGTAAGTAATAACAATGTAGGTCAGTTTGGAGTAAGTGTAGAGCAATTTGTTCAGGAAACAGCTTTACATACTTGAAAATTGAAGATTATGTGATAGTCCTCTGTATGTTCTCCAAGATCTGAAAGAAGTACACGATTTTGAAACAAAAACAAAGTGGTAATACAGTCTTAAAAAATTCAGCTCCTCATGGGGTTCATGTCATAGGCAACACAAAATGCTTGGTCCTATTCCTCCTGCCCTCCAGCAGCGTTTTGTCTTCACTTCCCACTGTCCTATTGCTTACAGCTGTCAAGCAATGGCTTGGAGTATTCCTTAGGCCCTGGGCGGCAAGACTATTTTTAAAATATACCAATCCTGATGTTTGGTTTCTTTAGCTTTGCATCTTTTATTTCATTTGTTGTGCACTATTTGTTTTAAAGAAACTCAAGATTTTTTGGAGTTCTTTATTTTTGCCCTATTTATCTATCATAATCCCTCATGAGTCTGAACCTCTTTCTTTTATTCACTGTGCTCAGTGCTAGGAAATTTATAATTGTTGTGTTCATGACTGCCTATTGGAACATAACTGTCTTTTAGAAAATAATATAAAAATATTAAAGCATGTTAAAGCAACTACTGCAGAAATAAGTGTAAAAATCTTGTAGACTTACATAATCCATCTAGTTCTTAGGGTAGTTCAAATACTTTCTTTAAGAGTTGTGGGTCAGATTTTGGTCTCTGCTATTTGTTATTTTGCACTGGTCTATCACAACCTCCCATGTATAAACTTAATAATTTGGAGTTTTCAGGTTGAATTGAGCTAGATCATAGAATCATTTATGTTGGAGAAGGCCTTTATGATCAACAAGTCCAATCATAAACCTAATGATGCCAAAGTCCTTCCCTAAACCATGTCCTTAGGTACCACATCTATGTGTAGGTCCCCTCTGCAGGTTGATTCCAGGAAGGTCTTGGAAATGCAGAATTGCTTGAATGGGTAAGACTCATCAACAAAAGGGAAAACAAGGCAATGACTTCTGCATCCTGATTACCTGGCATAATATATACAATATGATTTATATGGGCAGTAAGACCTTCAGGATATTGCAGTGTTCCCTTGAGGCAGGAAGTAGCCAATTCATTATAAAATAGGTCTGCTTAGTGCTTTTCTTCAAGGCTGGTCGAGTGTGTGGTGATTGAGAAATATGCATGTGAACTATGCTGAGAGCTGTACTTGGGAATCTATCAGGGTTTCCTGTCTCTTTGTTTATCAAAGATCACTTGCAAAGAGTCTTGGTGGTATGCAAAGAGTCTGTTGATAATCTGCAGAAAACCTAGAATTACCTGCTCCAGATCAGTCCAGAGAAAAATATTCTTGACCCAAGGATACAAAACAACAAACTTAATAAGTCATGAAGGGACTTCATTCTTCACCTACTTTAAAAGCAATACAGCAGCTGCACAAACAGAGTTCTGGCACAGTTGAAGAACATCACCTGGAGGTGAACAAGCCAGTGTTTTTCTGTTTCCTGCGTCTAAGCAGCTTTCAACTAAACTCTAACTTCCAAGAAATAATTACTGATGCAAAAATTCTCTAGCAGAAAAAAACCTGATCCATAATATACTTTAAGTACAGTATGAAAGTTTCATTTAGTGAACAGATAAATTCTTATGGCAGAAAATGGCCAGTTAATCATCTTCTGCCCCAAGTTCCAAGAAAGTGCAGAGCAGTTTTTTTGACAGATGAACTGCATTTCCTTCTGCTATATGCACAGAGAGCTGTTATATTAATTCCCTCTCAAATTGTCCAAGTCAAATATTATACTTGAGCAATAAATAATAAAATGGGTGCTTGTGGCCACTATAATGTTTAGGTAGCACACCCGGGACTCCAGAATGGCAGATTTGCTGTTTGCATTCCAGGCATAGCCTTGTCTTTTTTTTTTTTTTTTTTTTAATTTTTTTTATTTTAACAATGGCTTTGATCAATGGACCAGGAAATTGTGTTTTCTTAGTTTTTGACATTGGCATTGGCTTATACAGTTTTTGGAAATCATCAAATTCTGAATGTATATTTACCTTGATTTCTACTGGGTTTCATAGAATATCCGGTCTTGGAAGGGGCCCACATGGATCATCCAATTCTGAATGTATATTTACCTTGATTTCTACTGGGTTTCATAGAGGCCCACATGGATCATCCAACTCTTAAGTAAATGGCCCATATGGGGATTGATCTCACAATCTTGGTGTTATAAGTCCCATGCTCTTATCAGCTGAACTGAGTTTGTTGCTTACTGAGCACAAACAGCAATTGATGCCTATTTTGGCTACATCCAAGCAGTCTGCTGTACAAAATAAGCTGGCAGCTGCTTGTGCATCAGTGCATGCCTAGAATACGTTGCACACGTGCGTTAGTCTGGGTCTTTTTCAAGTGTAACAAATCTAGTAGGTCATCTTCCTAAGGAACTAGAAATTATTTCCATGGCAAATGATAGGGATTCTCTTCTCTTTGCAAGAGGAAAATAAGGAGATAAGCGGTAATATGAAAACGGATGTGCTTGGTTTAAGTGGGTACATTAACAACAAAACAGGTCGGCCTAGATTACACACTCTACTACTCTATTTTAAAACCTGAACTGAGCAGTTCTACAAAAATCAGCTTTTAGTTTGATGAGATCTGAGATGACTACCTGAGACTAATTATTGACTAGAGCAGCAGTCTGGTTTTTTTTAGGGCTGAAGACTATACAGCTTTATTTTATTACACTGGACAAAATAGTTGTGAAACAGCCTGAGATTATCATGTAATGACCTTTGTAAAAGATTTTGAAAAAGAGTGTAATTTTTCAAAATTTGGAAGGCCAATCTTCAATTACTTCCTTAGTATCTTCATCTTTGGTACCATAATTTCTATTAAAGAAGTTAGGCAATATCCTGTATTAGTTGGGTAATATCCCATGTTTCTTAGTGCAAAAATCCATTACTTCTTACTACACAGCCGGGGCCTTTGCATGTGGTTAGGATATATAGTTTCATGGTGAAGTTGGGTAGATTACAAAGCTTGTGTAACCTCTGGAACAGCTTCTTGAGCTAATACATATTGTCCAAAAATGTTGTTCCTGTGGCTTGGAGGCTGAGTTTCTTTGGGGTTTTTTTATTCTTACACGAGGTTCAGCAAAGATGTGTTTTCCACCTTCCTTGACTGAAGAAACCAGAATGTAGACAGTGATATGCCAGTGCTTGCATTTTCACTGAAAAATCTGTGTTTGCAATAAGTCAGGAAAGCAGGACAAAGCAAAAATATTTGTCAAAAGTAAAAATGGTAACACCTCTTAAACCAAGGAAAAGCAGGGGGCTGCACATACCAATACTCCTCCCTTTTTTTCATGGAAAAAAGAGCATGAAGACCACTGCTGCCCTTTAGGCAGGAATCGGAAGGAAACATTTGTGCAACTTTCTGTAGAAATCCATCTCACCAGCTACTTCTACTTCATATAAAAGAGTGCTACTTTGCTTTTTGGCCAAAGAAGTGTTGGCCGTGACATTTGCTAAATACTTAGTAATGGTCTTAGTATTGAGAGACTGTTTCATGCCAGCAAATGGAACGGGGTACCAAATATCTCTGCCTTACAATACAAATTTCCACAAAGTAGTGAAATCCACATTTACACATGTGGTTTACCTGAAGCTGATTTAGGTGTAGGAAAGAGAGGAACTATTTGGTGTCTTTATTCCTCTCCTTGATGCCAAGGGTATGGGTTGGAGAAGGAGGAAAAGCAAATAAAGAACTGACTTTCTTCATTTAACTTTCCCTTACCTCTGATATACGACAGGGAGATAGAAGAGGACAGGAATTGCAAATTGCTGATATTTATTGTTGTTAATAAAGTGAAATGGGAGCAGCTAAAAATGAGTTCCCATTGTACCTGATCTCTGTATAAACATAGCATTATAGTGCCAGGCTGAATGAACTTACTGTCAAAAAAGAAATGAAATCCAGCAGGAGAAAGTAAATCACATCACATCAATGCAGGTTTATGGGGAAAAAAAAATGTTTTCACTACTTTTGAAAAGAAGGGAAACAGAAAAATATAAGGGGGCCTTAAAGTTGTCTCTTCCTCTTAGTTAATCAAATGGTGATGTGACCAAAAGCACAAACTGACCATAAAGGCACAGTTGTTTCCAGGCTCTTGCTCTGAAATAAAACTATGTCAGGGAAAATAAAAAGGTTCCCTCCACCACTTGTGATATAACTAGGAGGATAATTCTCTGTAATCCATCCTCTTTAAAATGTAGGATTGCATTAGCTGTGAACCATGTGAAAGCTCTCAGTAGAAGTGGGTTGGCAGAAAATAATTTAAAAAGTGTTTCCAAGATTTGCAGGAAGATTAAAAACTATTATTGTCCGCCCTACATTTTTTGACTAGAACAGAAGAAAATACAGTTGCTGCAAGGACCAAAATCAGTTCTGCACAGGAATAAAAACTATTCCTTTCTGTTGGATAACAGAATGCAAACTAAATAATTCTGTAGACTCTTTCAGAGTAACTGAAATACCTGCTGCAATGAAGGTGACAGTGCAAAACACATATCCTACCCTGAATTTGATTTAAACCATGACGTTTTCCTTTTTTAACAAGAAATGGTGCCTGAAGTACTCATCTA